ACACGGCACAAATAAGCAAAAAAGAGACAAAAGAGAAACAACCTGACTCTGAGTGACCTGCGATGTCGCACACCATCTTGAAATCAAAGTAGCTCTCAGAGTAAGAAAGGTTTGAGACCCCTGCTCTAGGGATAAATCTAGTTTGTTTAACTACAGCTGCTCTTGAGGACAATTACAGTATCACACTTTACATGCAAGGCTTTATACATTTTCTTTACATACAGTTAACAGTCTCTGATCCTTTGTATGTCCTCCCTAACCTCCTCCAACCTCTCTGGGTACCTTCTGAGTAGCGTTAGGATCCATACAATTGTGATTTTAGCCCGTTCTACATGACAAACTTGTTCCGAGTCCACCAGATTGCTTGGTTGTCTGCTACGTACAGCCCTCTTCAGGTCGATCCACAGGTTTTCAGTGATATTTAATCCTGGAGACTGGGAAGGCCATGGTAAAACATTCACTTTATTCTTTTTAAACCATTCCTGAGTTGACTTTGCTTTGTACTTTGGATCATTGTCTTGTTGAAGGATCCACTGCCTCTTCATTTTTAGCTGTCTGACTGACAGTAGGAGGCTTTGCTTTACAGTCTTCTGATACTGGGTTATATTCATTCTTCCTTCCACTTTAAGCAGAGCTCTAGTGCCTGATGCAGACACACACACCCCAAAACATCAGCGAGCCTCCACCATGTTTGACTGTGGGAGTGGTGTTCCTCTCCTCATAGGCAGATTTTTTTCTCAGCACATGTACCTGTGCACATTATGACCAAATAATTCATCAGACCACATAGTCTTGCTGCTTAGCAAACTCCAAGCCTGCTGCCTTATGTCTTGAAGTAAGTGATGATTTCCTGCATGTTTTTCTTCCCAACAATCTAGACCTGTGCAAACTTGTGCCTCTAAAGACTTTGTTAGGTCCCCTGCTATTTGTTTTGGATTCATACATAGCTCTCGAGCAAGTTTCCTCGTGCCTCTTTCAGTCATAGGGGGGTTTCTAAAGGTTCAGAAATTTTTTTGTTTTATGTGATATGATTATGTAGAGCAGATAAGCTGACAGAAAACAATTCATTGCTTGACAGTTTCCATGTGAAGTGAATTTTAGTCTGTGACCAAGACATACATTATTTCCCCCTTGGAATCACATAACTATGTCACCTGTCAGCAACCACATTTAAACGCAGTGAGGTAAACAGCCATGAAAGGGTTGTCACTTTTTAACTAATTGGATTATGTGGCACATTCACAGTGTTATGTTTAAGGACCCTGACATACCAAGCAAACATTCAGCCATCAAGTGACATGTAGCTCAGTGTTGTAGTTGAGTCACTAAATCTTGAGTCCAAGTCCAGACTCGAGTCCCCAGAGTTTGCATCTGAGTCAAGTCCGACTCATCAAGAATAGTGAGTCATTGAGGTCTAAACTCAATTGACACAGCTCTGACCATTTTAAAAGGTATTTATTTACTGTGTGCTACAAAATAGCCAGACCAGTGTACTTGTAAATGCACACACACACACAGTTTATGTTTCGTAGTCCATGGGGACTTTACATTGACTTACATTCATTTCCTGTAGACTAATCCTAACCTTAATCAGAACCACTACTTGCCTAACCCTAACCCTGACCCTAACCTTAACCTAACCCTAACCTCATCCTAACCCTAAACCATGTTGCCACCCTAAAATTCAATTTCTTGCCCATGGGGACCTCAATTTAGGTCCCCACCGTGAAATGGGTCCTCATGAGTTGGTATGGAGTCAGGGAGAAGTCCCCACGTAGAAGGAAAAACACGTCCACACACACACACACACACACACACACACACACACACACACACTACATAGTAGTGAACTGTGTGAATTTCTTTTGATAGGCAGAGTGTATGCTTTGATGAAAGTGTGTCAGATACAACATGATACAGGTGAACAGGTTTATATTCCCATTTATGCAAATTATAGTACACAAGCTTAAAAATAATGTAATCAATTTGTGTGTGTGCAGCTTCGTTTTGTGATATGGAGGCTGAAAGCTTGTGTTTACATTTGGCTCAAAGATTGTTTCTTTAAAGAAGTGAGCACACTCACTTTGCCCAGCCAGAGTTACCTCGCCACTATTTTAGACTGAAAAGTGTTGGATGCCTTGCAAGACACAGATGCATTCTGGGTCGGGCTTGGGCACGCTTCAGGCTCGTGGTGTGAGCAGAATGAGAGCAAAATTGGAGCAGGACATAGGGCGATGCTCGCTCCTTTTTTAAAAAAGCTGCTCTGCGTTCTGTCCAAAATCCATTCACTCACGCACCGCTCTCTGCTCTGTTCTCTGCTCCGCTACATTTATTTCATAATTCTAGTTTCTTTTCAGAATCAGATTAATAAAACAAAATACAGTATAATCATAAGATTTTATTGATCACTGGTCAGCAGTAACTGATACGTATGCATATAAGGTAGTTAACATTAGCTCCACCCAGCGCTGTCCCTAGGTCAAATTGGGGGCCCTAAGCAAAATTTTGATATGAGCACCCCCCCTCAAGAAAAAAAAAAATCCAACCCCACCCCCCAACAACATTCATGCCCCCCTAAACCTAAACCTTCAAACCAAGTCAATTTTTATGGATATCGATAAACTCTATTTATTTTACATTTGAGCAGGTAGCATCAAATCAACTTTTATTTGTATAGCGCCAAATCACAACAAAAGTCATCTCAGGGCACTTTACAAAGTAAGGTCTAGACTTTACTATTATCATTATTATTATAGAGGAAAATAAGCATGACACTGAAGAATTATTTTTACAACATATCAGATTGAGTTTGAATTCCACCAATGCCAGTGTGTCAGTCACGAAGAGTAATGATAGCAATGATGTTTAAAACTGGTTCAACTTCTTTGAGTGGCCTATATCCTTAGCCAGCTAGCTAGTAAACTAAGGCAAAATAGCAAATATTCATCATTGCCTCTCATGATCTTACCAAGAAGACAAGGATTTTAAAAGTTATTTTGTTCAGAAGCAGGAAGCAATAGTTAAGCATTTTTAGCTTTTTTACTATGACAGTTAATCCCTGTTTCACCTATTTAAACGATCACTAGCTTCTTCTAATGGCAGGCCAATGTTGGTTGCTAGAAATAACAACCTCCGGTAGCCTTCAAGTGAAGCTTGAGCATCTTCTTGTTTTATTTTCTTTTTTCTCTTACACCAGATTCAAAGTGCCTCTTACTCACCATCTCTTAACGAGTAGTAGTACTTTGCTCTGAGCAGTGATTAGTCAGATGTTGGTTGTCAGTCATGGCAGCAGTGTGTGTGGTATGGTAGATGACAGACCTGAGATCTCGATAGGGCGAGACAACAGGGTGAGATTAGGCTACGGCACACGTAACTGCGCCACATGTGCAGATAAAATAAGGCCCTCATCGAATCATGAGGCCCTGCGCATAATGCATGTTTAGGGAGTGGAGGCCCTGCCTCTATCTTTACCAGCTGCAACATTAAATGTGATGTACAATAATGCATGAATATTTATAATCCAACGACATACATGGGAAATGTGTCATTCTGAGTACTGAATGTGAATGTGAATGAGTACTTTTGTACTTTAAATTGTATTTTGATGCTAACACTTGAGTACTTTTACTTAAGTAACATTTTGAATGCAGTACTTTTACTTCTAACAGATTATTTTCACATTGTATTATTGCTACTTTTACTTATATAAAGAATGTGAGTGCTTCTTTCACCCCTGCACCTCCTTGTTTTTCTTTTTTTTTTTTTTGGTAATAAGCTTCCCACCAAAGGGAATTGGGCAAACCATGTGTGGACTTCAAATCTTGGACATTCACATATGACCATAAATGATCCTGGCAGCATTCTGAAACTGCCATTCCACTGATATTTTGTTATAACCATTACAATACTGTATATTGTATGGTCCCTCCTTAATTGTTAATTTCAGCACCTATTAGTATGTGCTTATGCACTGTTGTTTCTGCCTCTTGGGTTTAGAAAACATTTCTGCAGCTGCTTGGATTTACATCTACAGGCTCTGGTGTGAACAGCTGATAAAGTAACCACAGACAAAGCACTGAGTGCAGGAGACAGGGGTTTGGACCTGCACAGCAATACCAAGAACCACCACACAGGGAAGAGGAAAGTTAATAAAATTAAGAGAATCAGATGAAAGATCTAAATGTTCATGAAGAAATGCATGTGAGTATTTTTGTACAGCAGTTAGAAATATTAAATGTGCCAACTCAGTTGAGATAGGAGGCTGTATTTCTGTAAAAAAAACTAGTACTCTTTAGTCTTCTCTCCTTCCTGTCATTCTGTCCTGAGGGCTGGGTTTTATGAGGGTGGGGAAGAAGACTCACCAGAAAGACAGATAAGCTTTTGTCTTATGTACTTCTAGAGACTACCGCAAATTCTCACTGTGGACTTGGGATATCTGCATCTCTTTCTTTATTTGAACATTGCGGAGCATATAGTTTTTGCCTAACTTCAGGAATAAAAACTAAGAAGACTGAAATAATACTAAGAAAACTGGAGAGTAAGGAATGCAGGCAGAGGAGCTGAAGGTGGCATGCCCACTGTTTGCCTGTTTTGGAGCAAAGCTTCGTTTGCTCACATGCCAACATCCACCTCTCAACAACTTATGATGAGGAATTGGAAGAAATCCCAGAGTTTTGTTTGCTGACTTCTGTCTCCCAGACCTTTTTCTCTTTTGCTGCTCACATTTCAAAGGCACCACTGGATTTAGGAGCAGTGGAAGAGGAGGAGAAAAAGACAGAGAGGGGTGGTTGGAAGTATACAAGTGCCAGGGGAGGCATATCACAAGTTTTTCAAAACTGAAAATTACATAGCGTTTTGGTCGTTGTTTTGATTGGAGCCTCACCAGTTGGTCGTGACAAGCATAAACTTGAACGTGGCTTAAGATTGTCCGATGGATCAAAGAATAACCAGCGTTTTCCTGCTCTCCCTCTCCCTCCTTGTGGTTTGCAACATATTTTCAGCAGCAGTGGGCAATCATACAGGAAGGATCAAGGTGGTCTTCACACCCACCATTTGCAAATTAACCTGCATCGGAGGCAGATGTCACAACAACTGTGAGCAGGGAAACACCACAACCATCATCAGTGAGAATGGCCACGCCACAGACACTCTGACAGCACCCAACTTCAGAGTAGGTAAGTGATCCTGACCTTTTCTGCTTACTTGGTTTACTTTAAGGACAAATCGGCACAGACTTGCTTTCTATACAGCTGATGATGCAAAACAGATTTGCTGATTGCAAAACAGATTTGCTGATAGCAAAATGTTTAGTTTAAATGAAACCCTTTTCGAGTTAGGTGTTTTGGTCTGGGGTGTACAGGTTAACATACTGGTGAACAATGTATCGTGCTACAGAGAGAGTCATAAAAACAGTTACTGACAGAGCTGTCTGGATTCTGCATATGTTTCTTTATCTACTGTGATCTGTAAACAACAGGTGGCCCATGCTTGTTCATTGTCTAACTTTACTTTGCTCATATGTAAATAAAATCAAACTTTGTCTTGCTTCTAAAGTGCCAAGTTAGCACAAAGTACTTTAACTACTACATTAGTAGTACGTTAATAGTAGTTCTTATAACTATGTGTCAAAGGAAGGGAATCAGGCCAAAATGCTGGCCTGTGTCAGCTGGGGATTTTATGATTGTCATTTTTTTGTTTACCAATGTGCCCCCCCAATAAGATTTTACTTTAAAGGTTCCTGTTTTTATAACTAGCTTAAATTTAATCTAATTCAAGAATGTATTTAGAGAGTTAGTATAATGGAAGGCAAAACAAGACATGAGATGGATCAGGGTGATGGCGGAGGTCCTCCTCTGCTGTCTAATGACTGAAATCTATCTCTGTGGCGTTGTTAATTTTGGTTTGACTGTTGCTTTGCTACACACGGTCCTACCATTCTGAAACACCCAGCTAAAATCTCTACAACAGAAGGTTCCTCTCCTTCCACTCAGGATCAGACTCTTGTTCATATACTGTATCTCTACTGCCTTGAGTTTCCAGCTGCAGCCAAGACCCAAGACGAAGTGCTACAGTGGCCGTAAGAGGTCTGTATTAGTCATCAGATCTCTTTTTAATTGGTTGAGGGTGAACATGAACATCACTTTCAGCCAGTCAGAGTAGGAGCTCATTAATAATGTACTTTTTATGTTAATAACCTCTGAAGTAGCCCGCGAGAGGACAGTCCGGAATCTGGGCTATTTGTAAAGATGGATTTAGAGAAAACTAAACAACTTTGTATGAATATAATGTCACACATGATTTAAAATACACTAATAATGGTTCAAAGGGCCATAAAACCTTTTTAAAATTGAATTTAGATAACAAATATAGCTAATTAAAGAGATCTAAATTTTATCTATGATGACCACTGTGCTCAGAAGTTGTTGGTGCCTCCCCCACATGATCAAGATGTGGAAGATAAACTATGTGTTTTATCGTGCACTGTAAACACTACCATGACGACTCGGGAGCAGCTCAGCACAGCTCCGACATGCATGCCTCGGCTTGAAGAGGCTGACCTGTGCTGATGGAAAAACACCATGAGACAACGGGCCCTTAGGCACAGACATATAAGAGGCCCTATCTCTCCTGCACTGCTAAACAGAAGACAGATTGAGCAACCACATCATTTGTAGCCATTTGTAGTTTGTGTCTTCTTACGGGTTTTTTTGTCCCTTTTTCATTGCTGTGTGTCTGTTTGTAGCCATTTGACCATTTTTTTCTTTTTTTGTGTCCTTTTTTTAAATTGTTTTGTATCTTTTTGTTAGTTTTTCTTACATCTCTTTTTGTAGATTGCCATATTTTTTAGTCATTTTGCTGTTTTATCTGTTATTTAGTCTCTTATGTCTCTTTGTAGTTGTTTTGCATCAATTTTTTTTCTTTTTTGGCTTTGTGTAGTTAGTTTGTTGTCTTTCCAATGGAAAGTTTAACAGTCCCTTCATGGTCCTCTGGTCTAGGGGCACTCTGACTCCTTGGGCCCAGGCCTGTCCCCAGTAAGCCTGTTCAGTAATCCATCTATGAATGTGGATCACAGCACTAAGTTAGGAAGACACTGTACCATGATTCAGTTGGTTGGTGTATCAGATAGTAAGTTAAGTGGGGTGAATGTTCTTGAATTGAATGTATACAATACTATTGCTATCCTGGGATAACATGAAACAGCTCTGTGTAATGGAGCACATGATGTGTTTTTAAATGGTTTGCAGAGACATGACAAACTTTGTGGGATGAATGGAACAACACGAATTCCTGTCTGATTCAGACAAATTAAGCCACGGTTATGATTGACACATTGGAAATTGTGCCTGTGAACTGTGACGTCAACAGAGAGACAAAACTGTTTATACTCAGGCTTGAGGCATGCTTGATTCGCTGCAGTATTCATCTAAATGACAGATTTTGCTGCTGAGAAAAACAATGGACACTGCTGGAATAGCAGCAGGTTTTGACAGACTGACAGATTTTGCTGCTGAGAAAAACAATGGACACTGCTGGAATAGCAGTAGAATTAATCTACAGGAAATACATTCTGTAGCCAGCTAGCCAGCAAACATTGAACCTACAGAACAGCTGAATGAGGCTGAATGAATGCTTGTGTGGTAGACACCATGTGTTGTAGCCTGCTAGCTTTATACCTAGCCAGCAGGCTAAGCCTTAGATTCAAAGTTCAAAGGTCAAAGTGTTTATTTGTCATATGCATAGTTAGGAAACGTGTTTCCCTGTACAATGAAATGTTTACTTTGCCGTCCACATGAATGCCACAAAATACAAATGAAATATAAAGTAGATAAATAAGTAACAGAAAATCTAAGGCACTTGAAGCAATAACAAATGCAGCAATATAATAAAAAAATATATAAGAATATAACAGAGAATGTATGCTGCATGGGAGCAGCATGTGCAGCAGTCAACAGTCATTGTGTAATTATGCATGTGCAAACTGAGAATGTAAACAGTACAT